GGTCCAACGGCCGAATTCAATTCCAACGCGCATCAAAGTTTTCTTGCCTTGCCGGAATAATGCTACGAGCCGGAGTAAACTCCGGCCTGTCACTTCTCTCTCTATATCAAATAGTCAAATCTATGAATCACTTGTAGAGAGAAGTATATATGAATCATGAACTAAAGGACAGTAAAAGCCAATAAGTCTTCCAAAACGATGTCTGTCCCTCAAATTCCGATCAATCACGCACAGATTTTCAATTCCATCATGTACAGATTTTCCGAATGCACACAAATTACTGGTCGCCCCATCTGCTTCTTGTCCGGGTCGTGTCAATTTGGGCACGGGCCTTTTTTTTTTGGGTTCAATCAAACCCCAAAGAATTTTTGGGTGCCCCATTGCAGTTCAGTTCTCTTTCTTATAGGACTCTAAAGGTCTTATATGGAAGGCTCAAGAGTTGTTGGGAGGTTTTGAGAGATGGGTATTTGGGTGATTTGTGGGGTTCTTGTTCTTGGGCTTTTGGGTTGTGGGAATGGGTACCCGGAGGATGAACTGGTGAAGGGTTTGCCCGGGCAGCCGAAGGTTGGGTTCAAGCAGTATGCTGGGTATGTTGATGTGGATTTGAAGGCTGGGAGGAGCCTCTTTTACTACTTTGTTGAAGCTGAAGTCGACCCCGCTCACAAGCCCCTCACTCTTTGGTTGAATGGAGGTCTGTTTTCTTTTTTTTGGGTTCATTCATTCATTCTCATTTGATTGTTTTGTTAAGAATAAGTATTCGGCCCGGCTATCATCCTAAAAGAACACATATTTTGTTGAATTGAGATGTTCCCATGAGGACATGAGCTTCAATCTTTCAATTTAATCCCACTAGTGTGGTCTGGGGTAGATGTAAGAAGGAGACATCTTCAGTGAATGGAGAGTATTTTTCCTCCCACCATGAGATATGAAGAGTTTCACTAAATAGTAAAAACATGACTGTTTCATTTTTCATCTGTCTCATGACTTGAATTCCTAGTGTAAAGGAAGAGACTTATGAAGTGAATGATCCCTTCTCTTTGTGTAGGCCCTGGCTGCTCCTCAATCGGCGGAGGGGCATTCACAGAGCTGGGACCATTCTTTCCCCAAGGTGACGGACGAGGGCTTCGAAGAAATTCAAATTCATGGAATAAAGGTGTGCGGATCCAACTCATTAATATAAATCTTAGTCCACAATGCTGAATTTTATCCTCCCGGTACGGGGTGCCCATTCCCACAATGCTCATTCACATGTCTTTGCTTTCGTTACATTTTTTGTAGCATCGAATCTCCTTTTTGTTGAGTCTCCTGCTGGCGTAGGATGGTCGTATTCAAATACAACTTCTGACTACAATTGTGGAGATGCCTCAAGTGGTAAGAAAAGCTTCCTAATTTCATCTAGTTCTTTTCTCTCTTTTTTGTGTTGTTGTGAATTTTAGGTTTAAAAGGCCAATGATTCAGATGCTTTTGGCAGCTAGGGATTTGCGTATTTTCTTGATGAAATGGCTCAGCAAGTTCCCGTCGTATAGAACCAAAGACTTGTATCTCACAGGGGAAAGCTATGCAGGTAAGAGAAATTGAGTGTTGTATGGAGGGACTTCTGTTAATTGCCAATGTTTGACCTTGATCTATCCCAAGTTTTTGTTAGATGTTCATGTTAACTGCTTACATGATTATTTAATAAAAATTTTCATAAAAGTTTTTTTTTGTGTAACTACTTTTGAAAAACATCAGCTCTAAAAAAAACTTTGGACACCTGTTCCAAAGATCTTGAAAACACGCTTTTGGTAAATCAACTTTTTGGAACCAAAGTACCCTTTACCAAACGCTTAATTTTTTTTTTTTGAATGCTATTGACTCTATTACAAGGTAGTATCTGTTCATACTATTCTCAAGCTAATGACTAATGACGCACAAAGAGCCAATGCTGCTGCCTTCGCTGGGGCTCGAACCTGGGTGAACTTCCCCATGAATCCTGGGGAGTGGGCTTGCTACCACTCAAGCCAGGGGAGAAGTTCACTTACCAAGCGCTTAATAATTGTGCTTTAGCTAAAAAAGTTTTCTTTCACTGAAATTCCTAATAAAGTAATAAGCTCATTGCCCCCAATGAATGAAGAATTGGAAAAAGTTCCATCACAACAACAACAACAAAACCTTATCCCACTAGGTGGGGTCGGCTACATGGACTAAATGACGCCATTGCGCCGTATCATGTATCATATGTGCTGTGAGATTGTTCACGCGAAGGTCGCCCTTGATCAATGCTTGCCAAGTCCTCTCAGATCTACCTCTTCCTCCAGGCACATACATATTCACCATTTGATCAACCCTTCTCACGGGATGCTCTATTGGTCTTCTCTCCACATGTCAAAATCACCTAAGATGAGTTTCTACTATTTTTCCTACAATAGGTGCCACTCCAAGTTTAGCTCTTCATTCCTTATTCTATCCATACGCGTATGACCGCTCATCCAACGAAGCATCTTCATTTCCGCCACACTAACCTTGTGTTCATGTTCACCCTTTGCTGCCCAACACTCTGTCCCATACAATATAGCTGGTCTAATAGCAGTACGGTAAACTTTTCCCTTTAGTTTTAAAGGTATTTTTTTGTCACATATAAAGCCCGAAGCACTCCGCCATTTTGACCAACCTGCTTGAATCCTGTGATTAACATCATCCTCTATTTCTCCATTGTCTTGAATGATACACCCAAGATATTTAAATCTCTTTACTTGTGGTATAGTAGTTTCTCCAACTTTCACCTCAATGTTACTGTCTCTCCTTCTGTTGCCCGAAGCACTCCGCCATGAAAAAGTTCCATCACTATTGTAGTAATAATGTAGGCGCTCAAAGCCATTTGTTACTTTGGCTATGTTTGGTGTGTGTTTCAACTGTTAGAATTTTGTAATAGTGTTTGGTAAGATGATGCTTTTAAATTACATATTCCATTGAATTCATAATATATCCCCAATAACTATAACGTAATTATTATTTTATAGAGCTGAGATCTTTGACACCACTCCTCGCTGTCATAATATGACTCCGAGCCACTTGGGAGCCCTATAGTGCTCCCTTGGGCCCGGTGCTGGGTCTTACCCCCTAACCCACCCCACAATCCCAAGTGCATCATCAGCCCCCTGCATTTCATTGAAAGCTACAGTAACTGGTTCCGGGAGAGGCCAAAGGGGGCAAGAAGGTTGGATTTGTGGGGTGGGTACCATAGAACTCCAGTGTCATATTATTACGCCCAAAATGGGTGTCAAAAGAACCATGAGGTTATTTACAAAAACATCAACAAACCCTATACATTCCTTTGAAAAATAGGATCGGGGGAGGGTGTGTGCATGCAAACCTTGCCTCTATTGGGAAGTAGATAATCTGTTTTCAAGACATAAGCTCAATCATAGTCAAAGTAAACCAACAAAAATACACATAAGCATGAATTAAGTAAGAACATAGTTGATTTTTCTAAATAAACTATGATTTTTTTGACATGATTTTTGTAAACAAACGTAAAGTGAACCCAAAGGTTTTTTTAAGTACTCCATAATTTCCAATATAAACGATTTGGACCAAAGAGCATTAAATTCTGAAAACTAGCTTTTTGCAAAAATTTCTTTGGGATAAAAGATTGTTTACCCAACACTTTTTGTACTAATGTCATACATCTCACTCAGCTAAAAGAGCTCTCCTTTAACAAAAAACCCTCTGAAAAGCTGGGGGCCAAACACACCCTCATTTATGCTGTACCTCATTTGTGTACTACTATGTTTGATGCTGAATCCTGACATGTTACATGTCTTGTTTAGGACATTTCATCCCACAGTTAGCTGTTGCTCTTCTGGACTACAATCAAAATTCCAAGGGATTCAAGTTCAACCTCAAAGGAGTTGCAGTATGTGAACTACGAATCCTTTAATATTCAATATATCTGGAGCCGGGTTCAATGCTTACACCTTTGGCACTATTTTTCTTTGTTTTTTTGAATAAACGGTGATATCTAAGAATCTGTTTCGCGCTGGACAGATTGGGAACCCTCTGCTTAAACTTGATAGCACTGTTCAAGCAACTTATGACTTTCTTTGGTCTCATGGAATGATTTCTGATGAAGTTGGTCTGACACTGATGCAAGACTGCGATTTTGAAGACTATACGGTTGTTAGTCCACACAATGTGACAAAACCATGTGATGATGCCATTACAGAGGCCAACCGCATTGTCGGTCAATATATAGACAACTATGATGTAATTCTTGACGTATGCTATCCGTCAATTGTGGAGCAGGAATTGCGTTTACGCAAGATGGTACTTTCCCCCCCTTCATTTCACATTATGAGGTTGTATTGGAATTATTGTTTTCATTTTAAGCATTGCTCAGTCGAGAGGTTTCAAAAAAAAGGGCTCAGTCCAGATGTTTTGTGCGACAGGTTTCCCTGTATTTTGTATTTTTTAAAAAGTCAACATTTCACAGCATTATTATCTAAACGCTGCATAAAATCTGGGATCAACATTTTGATGAAAAAACTGCTTTCCAAACAAACTCGATATGTTCATTTCTGTGTGTGTGTGTGTGTTTTATGTTAATGCAACTTGGTGTGTGCCCTTTGGTGCAGGCCACAAAGATAAGCTTAGGTGTTGATGTGTGTATGAGCTATGAAAGCCAGTTTTACTTTAACCTTCCTGAGGTTCAGAAGGCCATCCATGCAAACCGAACCAACTTGCCATATGATTGGTCTATGTGCAGTGGGTAAGCATTTCAAATACTGTGATGAGAAATTTTGAGCAGGAAACAAATATCTATGTAAATATTCATCAACAATAATATATTAGCTGCTTTCCTTGGGCACTTAATTGACCTAAAGCGTTTTAGAGTTCCAACCTCCAAATGCCCCTTTATTCCTGTAAATTTTTTTTCTAATAAAGAGATATGCCAAACTGGCAAACCAAACAGACGGTATGGATGATTGTGATTCTAAAATCAGCAAAATTACCCCACAACTGTGCAAACCAAACACACCCTAGTTTACTGAAAACCAGGGTGTTTTTATTCAAGAGTGAAGAACTGTACTCTTCCTGCCTTTAGTAGAGAAGTATTTTGGAACCAACTTTTCTGAATTTATTGCAGCATTTTGAACTACACTGAAGCTGATCTAAGCACTGACATTCTTCCTCTGCTAAAAAGGATCATAGGAAACAAAATCCCGGTCTGGGTTTTCAGGTAAACCTTTCTACATCAGCAGACTTTTGTTTCCTAGTACTGCATATAACACATATAATACACTGAATGCAGCGGGGATCAAGATTCCGTCGTACCATTGCTTGGGTCGCGATCGCTTGTCCGTGAACTTACTCGTGACTTGGGGTTTGAGATTACAGTCCCTTATGGAGCTTGGTTGCACAAGGGACAGGTACTTCTACTATCCTGCTCTTTTGTAGCTCTGGTTTGTATTAACCATTAGTACAAGTACTCCCTCCGTCCCATAATTTTCTTCCTCTTTGCTTTTTCGCAGTCTCCAATTCACTACTTTGACCATGAATATCTCTATTTATATATAATCTTATATTATAAAAATATGATATTTTAAAAGTTTATTTCAAAATGAACGTATTGACACTAAATTTTTATCATAATTCAATATATTTTTTCCATACTAGTATTTTAACCCGTGCCATGCACGGGATGATACAAAATTGTTTGTGATTCTACAATGTATAATATTAAAATGACTTTGTTTTTTTTATGAGACATATCATTTAGACATCAAATATAAATGATCTAGGTTTATTGAATATATATAAATCTATAATTTTTATTCCCGTATAAATTAAAAAATACAAAAACAGTAGTGATTCTATGAATCTTTTCCTGAGCATAAATTTTAAAAAGCTTGAATTACCGATCTTATGATTTTACAATTAAAAAACATAATTTTTCTCCCCCACATTAATTGAGATAAGTGAAAAAATGATTCCCCCACCCCGCATTGAATATAAAAATTGATTCATCTCCACTGCATTATTTAAAAATAAAATATTCGATTAGCGATCATATGACTCTACTATTAAAAATATTCATCTGAAAAAAATTAAAATACAACAATTCTTCTCCCACGCATCAATTTTGAAAAATAAAATATTAATAAAAAAGTAGTACTACAATGATTCTGAAGGGAAAAAGAGAAAGATTAAAATAGAAATAAAATATAAGAAAATAACCAAAATAGAATCTTTATGTTTTATCTGCAAAATAAGAACTATAATATCAATAAGACCAATATATAATACAAAAATGAAAATGAAATGTCAATATACAATGTCACATTATATTACAATAGTACCATTTTCGAGACACTGTAATAATAAAGTGGTAAATTATTTTGAGGCAGAGCGAGTTAAGTTTTATTATTGTTTTTAAAATATTTTAATTTTTAATTTTTTACATCAATATTTAAATAATAAAATCAAAACTAACTTCATTTAAACATCTCATAAAGAAATATGAAATTTATTAAGAGGTGAAGAGAGTATCTAATTTATTATTTTGAAATTTTGTTATAAATGAAGAGAAAAAAATATAAATTAGGAAAGAATGTTATCATATAAATGAACATATTTTTTCCACACTAAATTTAATCATTGATTTCAAACCAAACTATTACTTTATTATTTTCCACGTCACAAATTGTGTGGCATATTAAGTTTCAAAAAAGGCCACATAAACAATATATACAACATGTCGACTTTCTAGAGATTTAAATCTTATTTTTATATATAAAGGATATCTAAGTCATACAATCTGAATTTACCTATAAATTTTTATGTGAAAAAATTGTAATTATAATTCATCTTTTACATTTTTAAAATAAAATTGTTTGACAATAATTCTAGTAACGTTCAGTAGTAAAATAAATGTGATTTTTTTAATTTTTAAGAAAATAAATTTTTTTGTGAAACATATCAATTGTGAATATAGATTTTTTATTTTTGGAAAATAAATTTATTTTATTTTTTACTAATTGAATCTTTTATTCACGTGTTTTTAAACTCTTTTGTTTGAAGTCATGATATTTTTTTGTGTTTTATAATTTTAATTATTTCAGTCCATTTATAATCAATTATTGATGTTAGAATAATCCATGAACTTGAAGAATCTAAACAAATATTGATATAGAAAATAAAATGTATCCAAATCTATACAACTCCATTTAGAGTTAAAATCACTCATGTGATAAGAAAAGACCATTTTGGAAAATATTAAATTAGAAAAGACTTCGTACGTAATTATTGCTTATTGAGAAGTGATTTGGAAAAATACCTTAGTAGAAAGAACTATTTTGAAAATTTACTCAATTTCTTTTTTTAACTTATTTTTTGTTATACTACCTCCGTCCCAGAGTATTTGTCCACTTTCATTTTTACACACCATCCAATACACTTCTTTAATCCATTTTATCTTGTAATTTGTATATTAAAAAATTATAGAAATTATATATTAATAATCTATATGTTAAGACAAATCAAACAAGATCACACATGACTATATTTAGGCTTACACATTGAGAGAATTTGATGAGTCAAAGTGCTTAGATGAACAGTTCCAAAAGTCAAAACTGGACGAATACTCCGGGACGGAGGGAGTATTAGATTAGTCATTTTTAGGCTAAATTCAATTCAGTTATGTACACATTTTTGTTGAATTACAACCATATTTTTGCTAAACGAATTCTCATAAAAAAGAATAAATTAATAATTTTAAAAACAATTCATATTTTACTTAAAAACTTTTATATCAGTGTTAGTGTCTTTTATAATGAATAATTCACTTAATTTTTATTGAAAAATTTTATTTTTATTTTAATTCATTTTCTTGATTTTCTTTGAATTCAAAAGTCCATAACATTTTTGTAATAAAAATATACTGATTTAAACTAATCAAATATTTAAATATCAACTTCTAAAGATTATAATAAACTATTTGCTAAAAATGATCAATAAATATTTAAAACATGTCATAGACTCCGTATTTGTTTCTTTTGTCATGTTATTTAATCTTAAAAAAATAAAAAAAATTAGAATGGATATGGGTCACACGAATAATTTTGAATATGATATGTGACAATAATAGCGAGCAGATTAGTGCAAACTTATCAAATATATAAATATCAAGTTTTTAAAGTTACCATAAATTATTTGTTTAAAATGGTCAATGATTTTTCAAAAGTTACTATGTATGGAGACTTTTTTATGAATGATTTTAGATTCAATTAATGCATACATTCATCATTGACGTGTCATAAAAACTCCACGTAGGTATTCCACATGTCAAGCTCTGGTGATCTGAGTCTGAAATATTATATTAAAGGATTTCCGCTGGTTTACTCGGATATTACGTGGCGTGCTGACATGTTTAAATTTTGCCACATAGACTTGCCAAATGTCAAATTTCTATGCATCCGAGTCTCCTTTATTATATTAAAGGATTTTATGGTGAAAGTTAGAAACTTTTGACCAAGAAAAAGCAATCCAGAAGATAATTTAGAGAAGGATTTGATATAGTACCTCGGTCGCCAAAAGAAAGTCATTTTACGGTTTATGGTTTTTGACTGAAGCTATTTGATATTCATTTCATTGTAAAAAATGAGGCCATTTTTAATTCATTTTATTGTAAAAATGAAGTTATCGGGGGGACGGGTGGATGTAGCCCGTGCTATGGGAGGCTAGGTTGAGGTGGTTTGGGGACGTGAAGCAGTGTAGTGCAGAAGTTCCAACACGGAGACACGAGAGGCTTACGGTAGTTGGTAGGGGTGGAGGAGTGGTAGAACTATGAAGAGTTGGAAGAAGTGATTAGACATGACTTAAATCTTTTGCCCCTTTCCGAGGATATGACCTTAGATAATAGGATCAGGAGCCTTTGGAGAGCTAGGGTAGTCGTCTAGATTTCGGTAGCAAACAAGATCACACATGACTATATTTAGGCTTACACATTGAGAGAATTTGATGAGTCAAAGTGCTTAGATGAACAGTTCTAAAAGTCAAAAGTGGACAAAGAGAGTGGGACGGAGGGAGTATTACTATAATTTTTTTGTCAAATGATCAACAAAAATATGTAAAGAAAAATATGTTTTAATCTTGTGAGTAGTAACTAAGAGTTTGTTTTTGGAGCATACTGAAAGATAAACTATGAATTCACTTTTTTTAAAAAAATAAAACTGATGATGTTTCTGTGATGCTTGGGAATAACAGGTGGGAGGTTGGGCAACGGAGTACGGGAACGTGTTAACCTTCGCCACGGTGAGGGGCGCTTCTCACATGGTGCCCTACGCGCAGCCCTCCCGAGCTCTACACCTATTTAGCCACTTCGTCCGTGGCCGGAGACTTTCAAATACGACCCGTCCCTCCATTGAGGGTCAAACACATTTATGATTTCATTTAAAAAAAACCTCAAATATTATGCGTCAACAAGATTCGAATACTATATATCATAGAATCAAATCAGTTAATAGTTTAAACTTGTGGTTATTTTTCAATATGGCCTAAAAGAATCTCAATAGAGGTCAGGGGCAGGACTCTATTTCATTCCCATTTCGAACAAATCCTTAATTTACACACTCTAAACAAGTCACTTTATCACATTTTAACTATGGATTTTATCATTTAATTAGAATAAATCCGAACATGAAAGTTGATCGTCGACATACATTAATTACGTTTTCATGAATGAACTTCCCTTTGCAATCATTTTCTCCACACACATGAGATGGATGACTATGTTAAGGTCTGCAGCACCGGGTGCACATTCTATACTCTGCTACCAATCTGTGATTAAAGTTTAATTTACTTTCTCTTAGTGACTATTCATTTGGGTCTGAAGGGTCCTCGAAAATGGGGTTCATTTTTCAGAAAGTTACTCTGGGTATCCTTGATTTTCTGGTAATAACTCCAGGTCCCACATCATCTTAAATATACTCTGGGGTAGCCTTGATCTTCTGGTAAGAACTCTAAGGTCCCATATTATCCAAAATATACTCCAGTGGTCTTTAAAATTTGTGGTGATGTACTTCGAGGGTACATTCTGTCTATTTGGCCTATGATTGAAAGTCTTATTTGACAAATACTCCGTACTATATTTTACATTGATAGTCATTATTTTATTAAATTTAAATAAAATTCTTCAATTGGTCAAAGTAAAAGAACTTTTAATCTAACTCCTAAATTGAGAGAATGTGTCATCTAAGTATAATATCACAAATTTTAAGGACACCGGAGTATATGTCGGACAATGTGTGATCTGAAAGCTTTTTCAAAATATCTTGATACGAATATCGTATCAAATAGGGAAGAACTTCGAGCGTCTTCGGGCTCCAAGAAAGGGGAGGCAAAGAGAGAAGGAAATCTTCGAGCGTTTCCGAGCTCCTAGAAAAGAGAGACGAGAGATTAAGAGAATTCTTGATTATTGATTGATTGAATAATAATAATAACGAACGATTACAATATATAAAGACGCAGAAAACCCTAATTGATCTGATGGGCTCGGGCACATACTAAAACCCTAAACCATCAATAAATAATACTCCCTCCGTCCGGAAATGTTCTTCCTGTGTTGACTTGGCACGCTTATTAATGAATAGTAAAAAAATATAAAATTTTCAAAAATGCACATACTATAAACTTTTAAATCTCCTTTTATTATTAAAAAAGTACTTGGTCCGTCCCTGAGTGTTTGTCCACTTTTGACTTTTGGAACTGTTCATCTAAGCACTTTGACTCATCAAATTCTCTCAATGTGTAAGCCTAAAAATAGTCATGTGTGATCTTGTTTGATTCGTCTTAACATATAGATTATTAATATATAATTTTTATAATTTTTTAATATACAAATTACAAGATAAAATGGATTAAAGAAGTGCATTGGATGGTGTGCAAAAATGAAAGTGGACAAACACTCAGGGACGGAGGGAGTATTAAAAAAGTAGATTTGTGATAAAATAGAAGGGTATTATTGATATTTAGCCTTAAAATGCATACTAAAAAAGGAAATGGAAAGNTTATTAATGAATAGTAAAAAAATATAAAATTTTCAAAAATGCACATACTATAAACTTTTAAATCTCCTTTTATTATTAAAAAAGTACTTGGTCCGTCCCTGAGTGTTTGTCCACTTTTGACTTTTGGAACTGTTCATCTAAGCACTTTGACTCATCAAATTCTCTCAATGTGTAAGCCTAAAAATAGTCATGTGTGATCTTGTTTGATTCGTCTTAACATATAGATTATTAATATATAATTTTTATAATTTTTTAATATACAAATTACAAGATAAAATGGATTAAAGAAGTGCATTGGATGGTGTGCAAAAATGAAAGTGGACAAACACTCAGGGACGGAGGGAGTATTAAAAAAGTAGATTTGTGATAAAATAGAAGGGTATTATTGATATTTAGCCTTAAAATGCATACTAAAAAAGGAAATGGAAAGATTATTTCCAGACGGACCAAAAAGGAAAATGGGAAGAATATTTCCGGACGGAGGGAGTAATAATAATAATAATAATAATAATAATAATAATAATAATAATAATAATAATAATAAATAACTACTAAATAATAATATAACTAATTAAAATAATATAATTAATTATCCTTATCATATCGAAGGTAGCCCAGGGTATATTTCTGATAATGCAGGACTTGAAAGTTATTATCACAAAATCGAAGTTACCTTAAAGTAATTTTTTTTTTCATTCTTTTTGTTTCAAGATGGATGACTATGCTTTGGTGTGTATCAATGGAATTTCTTCTAGACAATATACCCCTAAAAAATGTTAAATTACACGAAGTTCTATAATCACTAAAATAAGAATTCCAATGCATATTAACTACGTAATTTTTTAAAAAGAGTTTTCATAAAATAAATCTAATGAAATCATTTATACAATGATGTGCAATGTAATTTTTATTTAATTGATGATCTAAACTTATTCAGTTTTACTATAAAAAAATCAAACTTGACGAATACATCTTATGTAGCATATACTTTTCACGGCTTTTTTACTTGGGAGGCACCCCAACTTTGTTGATTGTAACAAAAAGATACATCACCTTTAATTTGTAACAAAAAGGCACCCTATCTTTAACAAATGTAACAAAAGAGTACCTCTTGCCGGAATTTAGAGAATTCGACTGGTGAGTGTACATGTGACGTCCCACTTGGCTTCCTAGTATACATGTGGCATTCCACATGGCGTTTAAATTAACTTGTAATTTATCAAATAATTAATTAATTTTATATTTGATACAGATAAAGACAAATTTTAAAAAATTAAAATTTATTTTATTTATGCAATTTTATTTTTATACTTCTAATGAAAGTATACTTTATGGAGTGTATTTTAATTTTATTTTAACCCCATACTTTCTATAAGATTTTTTTTAATTTTAGCATTTTAAAAAATTTATAATTTACAATATACTTTGTATTTTAAACATAAGTAGCAATAACATGTTAATAATTGTCTATAATAGAATTTTAAATATATATTTGGAATTTTATAAAATTTAAATTTAAAATATACATATTTTTATTATTATTATTACTCCAAAAACTATCATCATCGTTAAAAGAGTTTTTATAAGTCATCTAACTATTTGTTTTAAAGAGATGTTCATGCAACATCGTGTTTATTTATCTATTTAAATTCTAACTTCAAAAGAATATAAGTATTTTAAAATTTTTATAAATAATAAACTCTTCCCTTTAAATCACAATATAGACAATTATTTAAAAAAATAATTGCTAGTTTGGTTTAAAATATTTTGTAAATTAGAAAATATTTCAAAATGTTGAAATTAAAAAAATCTTCTAAAAAGCATAGGGTTAAAATAAAAAAATGGAATTTGAACCGTCATAAAAAGAAAAAATAATATTGTATAAATAATATACAATTTTTTTTAAAAAATAAAACTTGACTTTATATTTGTCAAGTACAAAATCAATCACATATTAGATACTATTACAAGTTAATTTGGAAGTCATATGAAATGTCACGTGTACAATAGAAAGCCAAGTGAGCGGCCACATGTGCCCTCCCCGGCAATATTTTAAAAGTTTGAAAACATGCCAGGGAGAAATGGCATCCCCCCGTTCTGCTGACACATGGCCATGACCTGGCCAAAGCCTTGGATGGCTTGTAGATTGGCCGGGTCATTCATGAACTGGGTCATGCTTGGTGGGAATGTGACCCTTGGACCAGCAGAAGGGACTGGAATCGTGAACGGGGTGACCACGCTAGCTTGGTGTTGGGATTGAGCTTAATCCCAACGGTGTTACTGGGGCAGAAATACCCGGTGGGGTAGCAACCGGCTATTTTAAAATCTTGCCAGGGAGGGCACATGTGGCTGGTCGGATGGTTTTTCCTTTCTTCTTTTTGTGGGCCCTTGGAATGTCCCACTCGTCGTCACCGCTCTCAATTGAGACGCAATGACCATCAGGAGTGACCTGTGGATTTGTACCCTGTGGGGGGCGTGACGACCCAGCGGCGTTAAGCGCACTAGTCAAATTGATGGGAGCCACGGTACTGACCAGCTGGGGCTGGAAAGGTGATGGCTGTGGTACCGGCGTCTGGAACGGCGAAACTGTCATCGGAGTTTGAAATCTTGCCAGGGAGGGCCATGTGGCCGCTCACTTGGCTTTCTATTGTACACGTGAAATGACTGGCGCAGGAACAACAGTCAAAGGGAACAACAGCCTGCCCCTGACAAAGAGCATATTGGGATGATCTTCAACGGACCCGAAGGTGGAGATTCAGCCGCGCAACGGAAGAATTGGGTTCGCAGCATCTACATTGGCGAAGTAAGTGCTGAGCCGGCCAGGCGTAAGCAGACCAGGAGGGAACCAATCGTTTTCACTGACCGGGACCTCCCAGCTACCAGTGAAGATCATAATGATCCTTTGGTTATCACCATGGACATAAACGGGGTGGATGTCGCCCGGGTACTTGTTGACACCGGCAGCAGTGTCAACATCATGTACTTGGAAACTTTCCAAAAACTCAGGTTGTGTCGGACACAACTTGAGCCCCTGAAGACTCCTCTCTCAGGCTTTATGGGAGATACCGTGGAAGCAGAAGGATCCATAGTTCTACCGGTGGAACTATGATTGGGTGACAAGACCGTATGGAAGAAGATGCGGTTCATCGTTGTGGACATCAAATGCGTCCACAACGCAATCCTTGGAAGACTGGGCATCAACAAAGTCCGGGCGATGATTTCCATGCCTCACCTATGCATGAAGTTCCACACTCCAGGTGGTGTGGGTGAGGTGAAAGGCGACTAGAGGAACGCCCGAGAGTGCTATGCCCGGGCAGTCAAGAAAATGACCAAGGGGGTCAATGTCATCTCCCAAGAAATCACAAAGGGAGAGACCCGAGAGAAACTGGAGCCCGAGACCGAGACGGTGGAAATCGAACTTCACCCGGGTGATTCTTCGAGGATGGTTAGAATTGGAGCAAACCTCCTAGGAGATCTCAAGGCGGAGATTACACGGGTCCTCCAAGAATACGCGGGCATATTCGCATGGAGCGTGGCGGATATGCCCGGTATCGACCGCTCTGTTATTTGCCACCAGTTGGTCGTGAGAGAGGGATCCCGACCGGTACGCCAGAAGAAAAGGTACCTGGCTAGTAACCGGCGAGACTTCGTCAAGAAGGAGGTGAAAGACCTCCTTAGTGTTGGTCATATCCGGGAAGTCAAATACCCGGATTGGCTGGCCAACGTTGTCCTTGCTCCCAAGGGCGACACATGGAAGATGTGTGTGGATTATACGGACTTAAACAAGGCTTGTCCGATGGATTCATACCCCCTTCCCAGTCCCGATCAAATGGTGGACGAAACTGCGGGGTGCGAACTCCTAAGTTTCAAGGATGCCTTCAAGGGCTACCACCAAATCTACATGGCCAAGGAAGATGAGGAGAAGACGTCATTCCTCACGCCCGAAGGAACCTACTGTTACTGGGTAATGGCGTTTGGCTTGAAGAACTCTGGAGCCACTTACCAGCGCATGGTAAACAAACTCTTCAAGCCGCTATTGGGAAAAACCATGGAGGCGTACGCCGACGACATGCTGATCAAAAGCTAAGTATCTCTCAACCACCCGGCTGATATGCGTGCAACATTTGATATCATGGCAAGATACAACCTCCGGTTGAATCCCAAGAAGTGTGTCTTCGCGGTTCGTACCGGGAAGTTCTTGGGATTTATGGTGACCAAGAGAGGAATAGAGCCCAACCCAGGAAAAATTCGGGCCATCACTGAAATGAAAGCCCTTACCTCCGTTAGGGATGTTCAAAAGTTGACCGGTCGCCTAGCGGCCCTCAGCCGGTTCCTTTCCCGGTCAGCTGAGAGATCCCTACCCTTCTTCAAAGTTCTAAAGAAGGCCAACACGTTTGCATGGGACGAAGAGTGCCAGAGGGCATTTGAGGAACTGAAGGAATACCTAGTATCAGACATTGTGTTGTCAAAACCCGAACCGGGTGAAACTTTGTATCTGTACTTAGGGATTTCCCTAAATGTTGTAAGTTCCGTTTTAATAAGAGATGATGGGGCACAAAAGCCCATTTATTATGTGAGCAAAGCACTAAACGGACCCGAAAGTAGATATACGGCGATGGAAAAGACTACGTATGCGCTTTTCATCTCCGCAAAAAAGTTAACATCTTACTTCCAAGCTCACCCGGTGGAAGTCTTGACTGACCAACCGCTGGGTGCAGTGCTGCGAAATTCAACATCCTCCGGGAGGATGGTGAAGTGGGCAATGATGTTAACTCAATTCAACATAGAGTACCGGCCAAGGTCAGCAATCAAGGGACAAGCCCTTGCAGATTTCCTGGTAGAAATGACCGGTCTAACTCTAGACCTACCGGTCAACAAGCCCACTGAGCAATGGTGGGAGATGGCAGTAGACGGGACATCTGGTCCTAAAGGGTATGGGGGTGGTATAGTGTTTACCACCCCAGAAGGGTTCAAGATCTACCATGCACTCGTCTTCAACTTCAAGCTGACGAACAATGAGGCAGAATATGAAGCTCTGACTGGAGGGCTCAGACTTGCCCAAGCCATGAAAATCAACCGGGTCAGTATCAAATCTGATTCTAGTTTTATTGTTGGGCAAGTGACCGGTAATATGGAAGCAAGGGAAGGGTGAATGACACAATACAAGGACCTGGTGCTTGCCTTGTTGAAAGAATTCGAGGAATTCAAGATCGCCCAAATTCCCCGGGCAAAAAACGTGGATGCAGACCTTCTCTCCAAATTGACGTAGTATGCTCCCGAGCATGTTTCAAACCTTGCCCGGGTGGAAATCCTGGACCGTGCCAGCATCGAAAAATTGGAAGTCGCCGCTATAACAGCAGCAGACCAATCTGACCGGTCAAACCTGGTCGGGGCAGATGATCATTGGATGTTCGATCTGATGGAGTATTTGATGGATGGAAGCTTGCCAGAACAAGATGAACGGGCAAGAAAAGTGAAGCTCAGGGCACCCCGGTTCCAAGTCCTTGATGGGAAACTGTACAAAAGGGCATTCGGGGGACCACTTCTGCGATGCCTGACCAACCAGGAAGCGGAGCGAGTCATAGCAGAGGTAAATGAAGTCGTATGCGCGGCACATCAAATGTCCCGCACCCTCTCCCAGCGCATCATCTTGTTGGGGTACTACTGGCCAACAATCGTCCAGGACTGTGAAAGGTACGTTCAGAAATGCAGAACGTGTCAAGTATTCTACAAATACCCCGGTAGACCAGCGACTTACTATCACCCCGTGGCCAATGTCATCCCATTCGCTAGGTTCGGGGTTGATAGCATTGGAGCATTCCCAATCGCTCAAGGAATGAAGAAGTTTGTAATCGTGGCCATCGATTACTTCACCAAATGGATCGAAGCCGAAGCGTTGGCCAATATCACCACGCAACAATGCAAGAAATTCATTTGGAAGAATATCATCACAAGGTTTGGAGCTCCCATGAATCTCATCACCGAAAACGGCCCACAATTCCGAAATCCGAGATTCACTGAATACTTGGAGGGCTTCGGGATTAAACACAATCGCTCTTCGGTGGCATATCCCCAAGGGAATGGCCAAGTGGAAAACGCCAACCGAACAATTGTAGATGGTTTGAAGAAGCGGCTAAGAGAAGCAGAAAACAAGTGGCTGGAAGACCTTCCGCACATCGTATGGGCATTTCGAGTAACTCCCAGGAGGGCTCATGGGGAAACTCCATTCTCCCTGACCTATGGGTGTGAAGCAAGGCTGCCCATCGAAGCTGAATTCCCAACGTTCCGGGAATCAAAATATCGGCCCCAGCAAAAAGAAGAAGACCACTTGGCCGAGCTCAACTTGGTCGAGGAACGAAGGATGATTGCAGAAGTAAAAATGAGCACGTACCAACAAATCGTGAAGAAATACCATGACAATAGAGTTGGACCGCGTTACTTCCAAGTTGGTGACGAAGTGCTACGAAGAAGAGAGTCTAGTAGACCGGGTGACAGAGGAAAGCTGGCCAAAAACTGGGAAGGACCTTACCGGGTGAGGGCTATTATTCGCCCGGGAACCTACCGGTTAGAAACTCTAGAGGGTCACCCGGTGGAAAGAACTTGGAATTCTCATCATTTGAGAAAATTCTACAAATAATTGTAATACTAGGCGAGGCCTACTTCTATTATCAATCGAATTCATGAAGTCCAATACTCTACTTGGGAGCAGCAGAAGTGATAGGTCGAACCTATCCTAGGAGGGCTTCCGGGGTGGATCAAATCCACTCGGATAAGCCAACAGAGACACAGGCCCGGACCTGGCACGCTGGTTACTACACCGGTCTTGCTCAGTATAATAAAAAAAATAATAAAACCCGGAAGAGGGGTATGCCTGCAAGAGGGCTGGACCTGGAAGAAGGTTCGAACCGTACTTACACGGGCCCATGAGGTTTGACCGGTATCGGGGAATCAGCCGAAACCGTCAAATTGATTGGGGACTAAAAGATGCCCATTAAAAAAATAGAAGAGGATCGTCCACCGTGATGCATCCTATTCCGACCGGTTCGGATTCCCCCTTCTCAGGGAAGACTTGAACGGGAGGGTGAGCTAAGGCCTTCCCGGGATGGTAGATATCAAAGGGCCATTAAAAGACTTAATCACCCGGAAGAGGGGGCCCTGGAAGAAGGGTGCATTTTGGGCCTTGGAGAGGGCTCGAAACCATCCGACATGGTTAAATCTCCAATATTCTTACCGGTTAAGGATACTTCAAGAATTTACTAGGTTACAGGTGCTTCTATCTACAACCTACTGGTCAAAAAAAAAGAATACCCCGGTTGGGTATCAATACAACACGACTTCGAAAGTCCGTCAAGGTGAATCACTTGACCGGGTAGACCATGAAGAGGGAAACTACCGGTCAAACAAAGGTTCATGTTCAAGTCAATCGTCAAAAAGAAGGATATTCAAAAGGAAAAGTTGAAGTTCCACCGGTTAACGTTCCTCAAGTTGATCATCAGGAGGTGGTTGCATTCTGTATCGGTCAAAAATCCTATGATAACATTCTAAAAGGCAAGGGCAGAATATCAAACACGAAGAGCTCAAAAAGAAAAGGTAACCGGGCGTAGAATGAAACATGGCATTCAAACAAAATAAGAATGTTAAATGTTTACAGATACACTGGGAATCCCCGGGGAAATCAAGAGTTATCAAAGTTTTACAAAAGATGACCGGTCGCAGCCGGGGGGAAGGGGGGAGAAGGCTCTTCTTCCGGTATCAGGGCCAAGCCGTAGGAAGCAGCGGTGAAGTCCGGGTCTCTCTTCAGCAGTATCCGGTGAGAAGCAATCTGGTCTTTCTTCTGGCCGCTCCCGGTGAGAAGCAGTATATATCCAATGGCGGTGATCATTTTCCTTCCTTCAGGCTCCTGATACAGAAGCCTGAAGGATTCCATCGTGGCCTCCGGAGTTACCGTCATCACCCGGGCAGCTTCAGCCTTGTTTTCTTCCACCCAAGCAGCTTCAAGCCCGCGGAAGTTTTCTTCCTTCTCTGCCACCTCCTTCTTGACTTCAGAGACTTCATCCATGAGCCGGCCATTCTCCTCCTTCAGTTGGGAGATCTCGGTCTTCATTGCCCCGGCCAGCCCAGACAGCCTGATCAGCTCATCTACTTGGCTCTTCAAGATAAGGGCCATCTCTTCTTTCTCCTTCTTCAGCCGGTCGACTTCGAAAGGAGAGCTCATCCCTAACCGGTCTGCAGTCAGGGGTCCAATCTCCCCGGCCTGCACGAAACGCCCACAAGGTTAAGTTCTGCATTAGAAGAGAAGTTAGGTTCTAACCGGTCATGCATTACGACTTACCTCCCTCAATCTCAGGCCGAGGTTAATGAAGGCTTCCTCAACAGATTGAGAGGCCGCGTCAGGATCCGCTCTTTGCCTCTTCTTGCCAAAAGAAGGATGGATGGTGGCCACTTCTTTTGGTCCGGCGACCGGTCTAATCTTTGCCCTTCCCCTTGGACCGATCGTCTTGAGGCTCGTCCTCATCATGTATTTCCACGGTCTCTGGTTGGACCGTGAAAGTTTTGGCAGAAGCAGCTTGAGAACCACTGGTCTCTCCCGCTGGCTGGTCCTCGGAAATGTCAAATTCCTCGAACACCATGTCTGCAAAAACCAGCAAAAATCACTAAGTAAAGCAAACGGCACCGGTTAAGGAAAAGAAATGTATGCAGTGAATCACAAATACCTGAGTGGGAGTTGCCCTCAGCCTCCACAGTGTTGCCCGGGGAGGGTACCCCGCGCCCCGCTGCTTCATGGGCCTGGGAGGTACCCTCACCACCCGCTTCGACCCTCCAGACCCAGCTTCCATAGTGGAACTTCCTCCCGGTGAACGGGTCACCTCGAAGAAGAATCTCAAGACTTGCTTCAAGATCAGGAGAGGAAGCTAGCACGGTATACTCATTGTTGAGAAGATGGTCATTCCATTTTAGACCGGCTAGGGGAGTGACGAATGGGGGAAATTCAATAAAAACAAACTTTTCTTTCCATCCCCGGTTACTTTGGGAGACATCGGAAATAAATTTCCTACCGTTTTGCCCCTTAAAGAAGACGAAGCCTTCACAACCGGTTCCGCCCGGTAGGACTTCGAAGCAAAAGAGGAAAAGACGGAGGGAAGGCTCTATCTTAAGGTGAGAACATATATTTACAAAGGAATGAAGATAACGGTGTGCGTTAGGAGTTAGCTGGCCGGGCAAAATCCTAAACGCATGGCAGACTTCGGTCAGGAGGGGGCGAAGGGGAAAAACGATGCCCCCATCCAGAGAAACAATGTGGAAGCCTATCCTATTCTCCTGGTGGGGTTCAACTATATTGGGCCAATCATGTTCATGCTGGAGGACATACCCATCCGGGAGCCTTCTACAAACTTTATTTAAGGCAATTTTGGATACATGGGAAGGAATGTCAAGTACATAGAAGGTGGGGAGTGGAAAGTAACCGGCGGTACGAAGCCGCTCCTCCCACGCATCCCGGGTTTCGTTATCGGGGTCATAGGGACCCGATTCATCGTCAACCGGTTCATCCCTCCCCATGAAGACCTGATCGGGCACCTGATTAACAGGCTGCGGCTCGGGGACCTGAGGGTTAGGAACCTGACCGGGTGGGGAACGAGGAGAAGAAGACCCGGTCGAGGAAGAGGACGTGGAGTCCTCAGATGAGCAGTCATCTGAGGACGAAACTCTATCGCTATCTAAGGAAGACATAACCAGGAAGGAAATTAGAGAAGGAGAAGGAAACTTACTTGACTCAGAGGGCTGGAAAGCGAAAGAAGGGAACTTGACCGGTGGATGCTCTAGAGATTCAAGTTGCGAAAAGTGAGAAATGAAGGAGATGGAGGTCTTTATATAGGAGGAGGAGCGCGCCGCGTTAGGCGGTGCAATGATGATACACTGGCAGGCGAAACGACGGGTGGGCAGCCAACCGTTGCAGCGGCAGGCGTCCAACACGTGTCGGAATTCAGGGTTTTTCAAAATTCAAATTTTGAAATTATTAGGCGGGAAGAGCAAAAAATTCAAGATTGCCGTCCTGTTTCAGATTTTCTACTTCCCGCTCATGACAAAATTGCATAACCGAGAAGTGGAGGGCTTATTGATGGGTTTATTCCACCCAGGACCAGTCAAAGTGAGGACTAAATAGTTGACCGGTCAAACGGAAAATATTTGAAAGGCAGACTTTAATCGTCAGCAGAAGGATGCTCGGATGACCAGAAAGTCGACCGGTATACTTCGGATAGTATACCGGTCAAACTACTCCATCGCCTCATCCATTCCCTAAATGCGATAAACTCGTCCTAAGGAAACTACCCGGTGTAGTTTTCAGGGTTAGAAAGCGTCGGCAGAGGAGGATCTAAAAGGGTTTGGACCGTAGCATATAAAATCAATGGAGGATCGCTGGAGATGTTGGAACATTCCATCCAAGGCGCTACCTGACAAAGGAAGTAATCCTCCTCACAAGATGACAAGGCAGCTAGAGGACGAAGCCCATCACCTCCCACCATCCGAGAACGTGCCTCCACATGGCTGCATGATACTCTGTCCCCCCTTAACCTAGTATAAATACTGCTGTAACCCTCAGAAGGAGGGATCCGGATTCATTCTCTCTAAACTCCCTTGTAAAAGCACCCGTGCATTCTCTTATATTAATATCAATTGGGCTACAGGTGTTTCCACCTACAGTCCTACTGGTCATTTGAGTGTTTTTACCTTTTTACTTTATCAAATCAAGTGAACTATTCTAGACCCGGTCTAGTATAGTTTACCCGGTTAGGTAATTTACACCATCAGGTGGTTTAGACATGTGGAGAGAAGACCAGTTTATCATTCGATGAGAAAGATTGATCAAATGGTAAATAGACATGTGGCTAAAGCAAGATGTGGACTTAAGAAGATATGGCGCAAATTGGTCAAAAAAGACTTTCGCGTGAATGATCTTGTTGCAAATATGGTACATGATAGGATGCAATAGCATCATTATATCTATGTGACTGGCCCCACCTAATGAGATAAAGTTTTGTTGTTGTTGAATTGTTACATAGAACTTGTTAATCCATTGACTTAGAAAAGTTTTACCCTATTAAGTTAACTTATTGACAAAGATTTTTATTTTGCATAAATAGTTATTATAAATCAAGAAGTTATAAAAATCAAAGAAAATTAATAATCAAGAGTAAGAATTCTTATTTTTTTAAAACATAAAATTAGAAATGATACATATATAAAATTAGGACCGGATTGGAATATGAACAGTCCCAATCAGATTATTTGAGTCCTAAAAGGTCCCTATTCTTTTATGAAGACCGGACTAGTCTGGACGGATTCCGTAAAAAGACTAACCTCATCCTAAATAATACTGGTTTATTCAAGGGATCAATCACGTTCAACTAATCTGTTTCTTGTACTCATCACTATAGTTTTTTCACTTTTCAAATATACAGGTTGTGTTTTCTATTTCAATATCAATTTATAAAAATAAAATTATTTCAAAATAATTAATTTTACATATTGTTCGAAACAGCGCATTCATTTAGAGACAAAAGGAGTACAATGAATCAAATTGACTACCATAATGATAGTAAACAAATAAGAGTGACAATCAAGCAATTCGGGCCCAAAAGGTCCTTGTTTTTTATGAAGACCGGACTAGTCTTGACTGATTCCGTAAATAAGACCGACCTCATTATAAATAATACCGATTTATTCAAGGGACCAATTTACTCCGACTAATCCGATTCTTTTGCTCATCACTATAGTTTTCACTTTTCAAATGTACAAGTTGTGTTTTTTATTTTAATATCAATTTATAAAAATAAAATCATTACAAAAAAATTTTATTTTATATAATGTTTGGAATATAATATTCATTTAGAGACAAAAAAAGTAAAATGAAAGAAATTTACTACCGGAGTAATAGTAAAAAAAAAAAGAGTGAGAATCAAGCAATTCAAATTGAATGGATGGAAAGCTTTACGTGATGATTCCTTTCTCAAATTTAACTTATAAAGTTGATTTAATAGAATAATCACGTAAAGCTTTCCATCCATTCAAATTTAAATGCTTTTACAAGTTAAACTTGGTGAAATTTAACTCATTGACGACGAGTGAAATGTGGCGGCCGCTTATGAAGAAGAAAGGGAATTCGTGGTGTACCCAGTGTGGGAAGAAATTTAAAATATACACCGTGAAAATTTTAAACACTCCCTCCATCAAGTTGTTCTTCACACATATTATTTGTACGGTCAATTTTATTCAATTTGTTTGATTATTTTCACTAGACCTAGTCATTCATATAAATATATAATAATAAAGTTATATCACATCTTGTTTTTTAGAATTTTTTGTATATACTTTAAAAATATAAATTTTATTTTTAAATTGGCATCTATAATCAAATAAATTGAATAGAAAATAAAGTCGATTAAATCCTAATGACGCGTAATGAAAATAGAAATCACCTTAAATAGGACTAAAACATAGGGAAAAATGTACCAAAATAGGACTTTCATGTTTTTTTCCCGAAATAGAACTTTTCAGTGTGGTAATGTGACTATGTCCTGTTGTAATGTGGCAATGTACATGTGGCAATTACTATACTTTTTTGGTAATGTGTATGACCATGTATGATAATGTAAGTTCTATTTCGAGAATAAAAACATGAAAGTCCTATTTTGGTATATTTTCAATGTTTTAGTCATACTTTAGTCTTTCTCCCTAATGAAAAATACCAAGCTGAACGGAGGGGGTATATGAACCTGGCCGTGTTTTACAATACAAGAAGAACTATGTGAAAGTTTTTACTTTTTAGTCCATGCTTCACACGGATTTGTATACTTTTATTTTACATATATTTATAAATTTGTAAAACACTTAGGGGCTGTTTGGCAACTTCCGAATGGGTAAGTGCTGAACCAGTAAGAGGTCTGAACCATTAAGTGCTGAACCAGTAAGAGGTCTGAACCATTAAGAGCTAGTATATTGCTTAACTATTCAGAGGCAAATGTCTGATCAATTCAGATAAGAGGTCTTAACCATTCAGACTCTGTATAATACTTAACCATTCAGAGGCAAATCTCTTAACCATTCAGACATCTGAACCATTAAGAGGCTGAAACAAACAGNTAAGTGCTGAACCAGTAAGAGGTCTGAACCATTAAGAGCTAGTATATTGCTTAACTATTCAGAGGCAAATGTCTGATCAATTCAGATAAGAGGTCTTAACCATTCAGACTCTGTATAATACTTAACCATTCAGAGGCAAATCTCTTAACCATTCAGACATCTGAACCATTAAGAGGCTGAAACAAACAGTCTGAACCATTAAGTGCTAAACCATTCAGACATCTGAACCATTAAGAGGCTGAAACAAACAGCCCCTTAGAGTTGAAATGAATAAATAAATTAAATACGAAGTGTTTGTATTAAAGTAACTACATTACACAGCAATAAATAGAGCATCTAAATTTTATTCACTCCATCCAAAAAAGAATAGTACATTGCTTATAACTACTAGAGGAAGATGCTTAAAATCAAAAGGGAAAATTAAGAAAATGGTACTAAAACAATACAACTTTCCCAATATAGGACTAGAACTACCATAAACCTTTTTTTAATTACGTCAGCAACACCAATTGACTAATATAACCCCAACTCTTCTGTGATTGAATTTCAGGAATTGATCTGGGCATTTAACACTCTTTCTTGACCAAATTCTGAGATTCCAGTGGGCATTTAACACTTTTGGGAAACAAGTGGACATTGAATTTCGAATATCTAGTAGACATTGAAATCAAAATTCCAGCGGCCTGTCCAAGTTTATAGAAAGCGAGAGAGAGAGAGAGAGAGAGAGAGAGCCACGTTAAAGATTATCGCCGCCCACTACCGATGTTACAATGTCCATCGCCAATGTTACAATGTCCAGTTTGTCGTTGCCCACTGCCGATGTCACAATGTCCACCGTCAATGTTGTCATAGTTGCCACCCATCGCAATGTCACAATGTCCACTTTGCCGCCGCCCACCACCGAATTCACAATGTCCACCCTCGATTATGTTACAATATCTATCTTGCGGCCGTCTACCACTGATGTCACAATGCCCACCATCGATGTTAAAATGTTTACTGTGATGAATATAATGCATTGATCAAGAATGAAACATGGGAATTAGTACCCCCCTCCCCCACCCAAAATATAATCTCTGGTAAATGGCTCTTTAGACGCAAACTTGGCCCATCAGGTGAGTTATCCAGGTATAAGGCCCGTTGGGTGGTCCGCGGCTTCAACCAGCGCTTTGGCGTCGACTACGACGAGACCTTCAGCCCCGTTGTCAAACCTGCTACAGTCCGCATCATTCTTAGCATTGCTCTGTCAAGAGGATGGCCCATTCACCAGCTAGACGTCAAAAATGCCTTCCTCCATGGCCAGCTACACGAGACAGTTTACGCCAGTCAGCCTTCCGGGTTTCAGGATCTAGCTCGACCTCACTATGTTTGTCGACTCAAGAAGGCTCTCTATGGACTCAAGCAGGCACCGCGGTCGTGGTATCACAGATTTGCCAGTTTCATTCAGACTATTGGGTTTCGAGGATGCAAGTCGGATACATCACTGTTTGTTTTCTCTCATGCCATGGGCACAGCCTACCTACTCCTGTACGTTGATGATATTATTCTCACAGCATCTTCCACATCACTCCTCCAGCATCTCATCCAGCGGCTAAAGGCCGAATTGGCTATGACAGACATGGGGGACCTACATTTTTTTCTTGGCATCAATGTACACAGGACGACAAGTGGCCTCTTTCTCCACCATACACAGTTTACTCATGACATACTTGAGCGGGCCGGGATGGTTTCTTGTCGCCCCATCTCCACCCCTGTGGACACAAAGGGAAAGCTCTCCTCCTCGTCAGGCACTCTGCTCCCCGATCCTACTCTTTATCGATATGTTGTTGGAGCTCTACAGTACCTTACATTTACTCGCCCTGACATCACGTATGTCGTCCAGCAGCTTTGCCTATACCTTCATGCCCCCCGTGATGCTCATTTCACGGCCATGAAGCGTGTCCTGCGCTATTTTAGTGGCACCTCCACCCATGGCATCCACCTGGCACGATCCTCCACCGACTCCCTGCAGGCATACTCCGATGCTGACTGGGCCGGTTGCCCAGACACCCGCTGTTCCACCTCTGGATACTGTGTCTTTCTTGGTGATAATCTAGTCTCCTGGTCCTCCAAGCGTCAGGCTACCACTTCTCGTTCCAGTGCCGAAGCCGAGTATCGCGCCGTGGCCAACGCCGTAGCAGAGACGAGCTGGATCCGGAATCTACTACTTGAGCTGCAGCAACCCCTTCGGCGTGCCACCCTTGTCTTTTGCGACAACGTCAGCGCTGTGTATCTCTCGACAAATCCTGTGCAGCACCAGCGCACCAAGCATGTGGAAGTTGATATTCACTTTGTTCGTGACAAAGTAGCACTGGGCCAGGTGCGCGTTCTCCACGTTCCCTCGTCTTCACAGTATGCTGACATCTTCACTAAGGGACTGCCTTCCTTATTATTTCTGGACTTTAGACAAAGCTTGTGAATCAGACCTCCTCCACATCCGACGTAGCCGGGAGCATGTTAAATATATTGTATATATTTAATATATTGTATTATTCCCTTACCTTATTTGTATAGGTTTTCTTACTTGTGTCTCTCGTACCTTGTTTAGGATTGAGACTCCCCCTATATATATTCATGTAATCACAACTCATTCAATCAATGAAAATAATAATTCTTCATTTACCTTTTCGTCGCCCATCGTCGATAACACAATGACCTCTATCTAGTTGAATAATGTCCTTGTATAATAAATCTGTTAATGTCCTTTGATTCATCATAAAGACATTATGTCATTTTTAAATGTTGATTTGTTTATACATCAATGTCTTTGGCTCTTCTCTAGATCTATACATTGAATTGCCGAATTTGAATCACGAAGAAAAATTGGAGGCTGTTCGATCGAAGGAGAGGGTGAAGGGCGAGAATTGAGTTGCGCAAAAAAACGGAAAGAAATCTGGAGTTTGAGAGAGACAACTGATTTGATTTAGGCATGACCGCATGGGGAATGGGAGGCTAAAAAGGGAAAGTCAAATTGAAAAAGGTACTATTCAAGGAATAAATGATGATTAATACCACAATGGGAAAAGTAATGACTTTTAGTAATATCCGTAACAAATTTGACAAATCAAAAAGGAAATCTAGAGAATACCCTAACAGGGAGAATACACCCTAAGGAAAGTATATAATTGGCTCTTAGGGCAGACAACTAAAGCAAATTAGGCAAGCCTGATTTTGAATAAACTAACTACTCCTACACACCAATTTAACAATTAATTAATCATGAAAAATAGGTTGCAAACTAGGATAAGATTGGATTAGGAATAATAAATTCATTTGAAAATATAATATTATCATTTAATACCTTCCTTATTATAATATTTTTTTATTTTATTATTACTATAATTCTTAACCTACTTAGATTAGAATTTTTCTTATAATTTCTATACATAGGGATATATTTTTCATTATTCAATAAGACCAATCCTTATCAAACTGTATCATGGTAACAAAGCTAAGTTTCTTAAAAGGCTAATCCTTTCTTTTTCAACCCATCACATTGCCGGTCTTTTCTCATAGCGATCAGTCGTCCGACAGCATGGTGTCACCTGTTAGTTCCATATTGTGTTGACATTATTTTTTTACAAACGAATAGATTTACTTTATTCACCTGTTAGAAGTTACAATGCAACTATGATGTTAATCATGATAGAAAAAATCGGTTTGATTAATCACATTATATGACAAATCTAATATTTAAAATAAAATCTTATAATATATAAAGTGTAATTACAAATATACGAAGTATTATTTTGACAATACTTTTGTGTATGAAAAATGACAATACTTTTTTATCTTAAAGAAATTGATTAAAATAACGTGATTATGAATATAATAATAATGATAATAATAATAATAATAATAATAATAATAATAAAGTATAACAACAATTTGAATGAGAATAATATAAAAAATACACTTAAATAATTTTTTATAGTTTTTTCAGATTTTCTAATTTCTTATAGTTTTTTTAGTTCCTTCTAGTTTTTGTTGGAAAACATTTTCACTTTGACATTTTGCTAATGACAATGTTTGTTTCCGTTTAGGTTTTAATATTGACAAACCGTCGGGAACATGGAACAAAATGAAAAGATAGAAAAAGTTCTTTGAAGAAACAAAAAGCACAAGAATGGCATTGACGTTGCTAAAGATGGCGACATTGGCGCTTTGAAGACGTATTCTAAAGACTTAGATTTTATTGTAACAAGCTCATTCAATTTCTCTACGTCATGGCTCAAAACAAAATATGTTTTTCATGCATCAAATTAGTGTTTTCATAAATAGTTTTTAAGTTTCTAAAACCCATGGTACTTGCTTAACCAAAACCATAACCATCGGTTATCGGCGTTCGGCTATGGCGTTCGGTTTTCAGCATTGGTTATTGGCATTGATTTTAACCAAATGGTTTTTGGGTTTTTATCTTTGGTTTATGCTTCTGGACACATTTAAAGGTTTTCCAAATGATTAGTTTTCAAAAACCATAACCTTTGTTTTTCGGCGTTGGTTATCGGCATTCGGTGCCGGTTATCGGTGTTGGTTTTTGGTGCCCAAATCAATCAAGTGGTTTTTAAGTTTTTATACTTGGTTTCTACCTAAAATA